CAATAGCTACAATCTAAAAACCTTAAGACATGATTCTTTGCACAATAAAGTGTATTAAATTTACAGCTCACAGTGTGTTACTAAAGAATTTAAATCTGAGTGACTCTCGAATATTTCCTAATCTCTGGGAGCTGTGAGATCTTCAGGAGTTTTTTGCTAGCCTTGTGATGGAGAGAATGGGTGACTCACAGTCAAAATGTCTCTTTCAGTCCCAATAAAGGCTGGGATAATTTCCAAACTGTTTAAGATGTGGAAAAGCACAAGAATGTCCCATCTTTAGTGGTAAACTTACAAAATCCCAAAATCTGATTGTGTCTAATTCAGACAGGATAACTAACAAATGATAATGTCACAGAACTGCCCTGCCTTTAATGACTAACCCTACCATAAAAAAATTAAACTCAGTCTGACCATGTGTCTGTTGCAGAAGCAAAAAATGCAACTACGATAAAGAGTCAAATATCCTTTATATCATCCAATTAAGTTATCATTCAATGAAGTTAACCAAGTTATATCCTATCTGACCAAGATGGTCATATAAAGCTTCTGAGATACATTATATAACTGAGTATTCAAATTTAATAATTTTGTTTTTCCATTAAAGATGACTTAAATAACTGCACACTGATATGTATTTATTCAGAACATTTCCATAACTTTGTGACATGTTCAAAAGACGTCAAAGAGAAATAGAAACACAAGTCTTTTTTTAGCTATGCATATAAGACGTGGAACAGGGCATTACCACCAACACATGATGATTTGACAAACTCTGAAACTGAATCCTAAAATGAAAACTCATGGAAACCAGAATGAGGTTGAAGAGGAAAACAGTAGAGAAACAATTAGGGGAAAACACAGCAGAAAGAATATTAAGACCATACCATCCGCCTTACCCACACTATAATACACACAGGCCAGCTACCTGAATATCAATGTGAACATCCATACACATGAAGTGACTTTGCTGTTACATCTGCCGCTGTGGGAGATGAATGTCAAATTCAAATATTTGTGTCTTTATGTTGGAGACCCCAGAAGAAGTCACTCGGTCCTTTAAGCAGTTGGGTCCATATCCCTAATGACCCACCACAGTCCAAAAATTCATGGACTTGAGGAGTCAGTCTATTAACCACTTTCCCAGAGTTAAACAACCGCTATTTGGCCACATGCTGCCCGGAAAAGTGTGGAGGCGTTCAGATTGCAATCTTTGGCAGCTTTATTCTGTTTTGGGTATTTCTAAAAAATAAAGAGGAATCACAAATACTTTTCATGCAAGTGTCCTGGGTAAATGAGGATATATTTTTACTTCTTTGCAATAACAGAATGATAAACACATAAAGCTCTGGAAAGGTGTTGCTCATTTTGTCCTTTTGTTTCTGTCAGGTTGGATTCTGTGTTTTTGGTTTTGGTTTATTTTTCTTTGTTTTGGGAAGCCTGCTGCTTCCACATTTCCCCACCAGATGCCGCCTGTGAGCAGAGCCCCTGGAGCAGCGAGTGGGAGAACCTGGAGACACACCTGTGGCGCATTAGGAGGACTGATGCTGTGGATATTTAAGACGCAGCAAGCTGACACGTTGTCGCCTGAGTGTTTGTTTTACTTGGTTTTGCCTGAGGTTCCCAGCGGTGCTTAAGACCGGAGTTAATGCTAACTCCTGCGAACCCCCTGTCCGCTTCCTCACGACGCCATTGGAATTACCAATCGGTTGCCTTCCCCCGAGCACTCCTTTCCTGGTCCCGGTGTTCTCTGTGGATTCCTCTGTGACGCAGCAGTACGTACCTGCTTGTGGCCGAAGCCTTCC